TATCAAAATTAAAATTTAATTTATAAATTATATAATAAGATTTATCTACTTGATATTAACACTAAAATTCTAAGAGCTTGAGTGTCCATTTTTGAGTTGAATTAAATTTTATGCCCACCATTAGTGGCACGCAATCCTTTTTACTTTTTATTTTTTTATTCTTTTAATCTTTCATTACACAATAAAAGTAACTTTATTATTTCTCAACTTATTTCATTTGCATGTCATGTCATTTAAATTTAGAATTTTTTATTTTTTAAAAAAAGAAATTATAATTGAATTATTTAAGTAATTAATCACAATCTTTTATTAAAACTACACAAAATACTTTTTTAAATTGTTAAGAACAATTGATAAATGAACCTCAAGGGATGATTTAATAGTTAAGAGCTTAAGATTTTAAATTGACAATCAAGTTCAAAACTTAAGTCAAGTGGAAAGGGATATAAGGAAAAAGAAGCATTATCCATCTTATATAATATATTATTATCAAATATACAAAAAAAAAAGAGGAACAATTGATAAATGTAATAATTAATTGATAGAAAAATTAATATTTATTATTTAAAAAGATAATATTCATTCATAAACTAATATTTTTAAATATTATAACTATCTTTTTTTTAAAAAAAATTACTCTATCTATTTATTTTTAATAAATCTAGTTTGATTTCTTATCTTTTAAGACATGAATTTTAAATAAATATTTAACAATTTATATGGAAAAACAATTGTAAAGTTTTTTCTTTTTATGTGAAGTTCTTGTTGAGTTTTCTATTTGATTAAAAAAATTTTCAATTATCATTTACATAACATATTAAATTTTTATTTAAAATTTATGTCTAAAAAATAAAAAAAGCTAAAGCATATATACTAAAAACTAATAAAAAGAGTATAAACTAATAAAACTATACAAATAAAATACATTTATTATCTATTTATATGGCTATAATGGAAGGGAAGAATTTTTTTTTTTTAAAAAAAAAAGACTATCTCTCCATATATAGTGTATCCCACAAAGTTGCTTTATCTCTCTCTTTTTCGTTTAGCCCCATACGTCTCATGCCATGTGAATTGTCATACGCTTCGTTCTTCTCTTTTTACCCTATGTGATCCCCAGAACCTTTTCTTGATTGGGTAAAGTGTTCATTATTTTTTAATTGCAAAATGAAAACTGGGGGCGTAACCCCAAACTTTTTCCCTTTTTGTGCACAAAATAAGAAAAATCATACGGGTGAATTGTGTGGCGTCACAACCTAACCCGTTCAACCACGGCCCACCATGATTGTGTACCGTGACAGCCTAACCTGTTCAATTACGGCCCACAATTACCTGACCTAAGTTTCGGTCTCGCCACGTCGCTGGTTGTTTTGGGCTTTTTGGCCCTTAACGCCATCAGCGCAAGTGTGCAACAGTGCCCATTCTTTTATTTTTACTTTCTTTTCCTTTTTTGGCCAAACTTAATTAAGGTTGAGGAGTTTAATTCTCCTATATGTCAGTTTTTAGGGTTTTTCTGATTTTGAATATTGTGTTTAAGGGGTTAAATCTGAACTATCTACGTTGTTATCTTTATATTGTACGGACTCGACATAAAAAATAAAATAAAATAAAATAAAATAAAAAACCAATTTAGGGTTTGTTAATATTATTTTTTCTGCCTTCTAATTTAGCTCTCCTCTGTTAAGGTTTTTGTTGGACCCAAAAGTAGTCTAATGATACTTAACATGTGGCGAAAATTCACAAGTTCACTTGTCAAGATTTCTTCTAAAGGATGAGCTTGAAGACCATACCATATGAAGACCATACAATATAAAGACAATTAATGATCCTCTCGTAGAGGATACTAATTAGCTAGAGGCCATACAATATAAAGACAACTAATAATTCTCTCGTAGAGGATACTAATTAGAAGTTAACCGAAATATCAACTACAATGAAATTAACTGTTATCTCTCTACTAATTATCTCTCACTCACTTTCTAGGCCTCTTTTAGATTGATCTTATTCATCTAGCTTGCCACTCACCATACATAAAGATTTTCGTGATCCATATTTTAGGTTGATTGTTGGAGTGCTAAGCAGAAAACTAACTCCGATCTTTGACTAAGTTCTAACCCCTCATTTTGCTGAGTTCTCAATGTCAAAAACCTGTACATCATCTATAGGTTTTTTTGTCAAAAACTTGATTGTCATTTTCTGATTACAACAGTTTTCAACATACTTCTCTAAACCATTCACTTTCTCGTAAAACTATAAAGGGACTGCAAGTATACAATGCCCGCAGGCTATTAACACTGACTAGAGACCCCTTCGAGCCCTCCCCTACAATAGTATGCAGTTCCAAAAATAAAAAAATATAGATGCAACCCCTGTATCACTTTCTCAGCTCAGCTTATTTCAGTAATTAATAATAATAATAATAAAAGATTTACATAGTTAATATTTCAGTCTTTTTCAAAAATTTGAGAGTGCCTCTTGAATCTTGAGCTATATAGTCTACCATCCCGCAACCTGATAGTGCCTTGTGACGAATTGCTTAAGTGGCCGTTGTGGAACGCTGAGCTGGGAAGATATCGAAGTTAGCTAGCTAGTCGGTTAGATAACAACAGAATAGCATCAGAATTGTAACCAAAACAAGGTATGTAATTCATTCTGGGTGTAATTGTACAGAGGTTGTGAAATGATACAATCTTCCTATTTTTTCTCTTTCTGCCTTCTCTTGATCCCCTTCTTCTTTTACTCTCTCTCTAAATTCTAATTCTATCACAACCAAAGCAAAAAATTACTGGATCCTGTTTGCTAAGACCATTGTTTACCGACGCACAGGAAGCCTTAAGACAGAGATTCGATCCAGAGATAGTTTGTTGGTCTTTAGCGATGAATAGAGGAGAGTGATTGCTCATGAGAGGACGAGAGTCCATTTCTGAGTTGAATTAAATTTTATACCCTCCTCTTCTTTATCTAGCATATCACTGCTTGCATTGCTCAACCTTCTCTTGATTTTCCTCCAATCAAATTGAAACCCGTACGTTTTGGCCTATTGTGAGATTGTATAATCTAATTTTAACTTGTGTTCTAATATTAATATGATTTTGTCGATGATGAATATAATTGTTTTTAATTCTTAAAAAGCTTATGTTTATAATAAATCCAACATAACGGGCATTCCGCAACAATCCAAGTCATGTGATAGAAAACAAAAAGGAAAATAAAACAGCGAACAAGGCCAAGTGATTTTGACATTACAGAAAGTCAAGAACTCTCTTTTACAGAGCAGGGTACACGTGAAAGTCCAAACTTATTCAGGGGAAAAAAAAAACAGCTTTGATATAAAAAAAATTTTAATTTTAATTTTAAATTA